AATTTTATTTTTATGTTTTTTGTTGTTGAATGAACCATATTTTTATATAAAATTGGCGGAAAAATATTAGAATAAAAATTGTTGCATATATTGTGAAAAATTTGCTGTGCCAATACTTTGTTCCGGCAGTGTACATATAGTATGTACATATGTACGTACATATTTGCATGTAAAACTTTTAATATAAGTAAACGTTGTATGAATTTCCATTGGCGAAAGTTCAAATATGCGTAGATATAGTATATTGAATAAAAAATATGTTTGCATATATGTATATGTTTATGTACGCATGGATGAAAACTGAAACTCGAATGAGAAACCGCGAACGACCTTGACGACGATAACGACGACGACAACGATGTCTTTGGCTACAACCATATCGACAGTAAATGCAACTAAACATAAAATTGCTGCAGAAATATGCAATAATTCATATATATGTACGTATACATATGTGTACGTATGCATACATATGTACATAGTATATGTATATAAATCACATTCACAAGTTGTGAAGTTATTAAAAAAAAAATATCGGCTTACCTAATCTATGTACATATAAATACATATGCGTGTGCGTTAAAATCTGTGCTCTTTCCGCAATTAAAGGTTATCTGGTCAGTTTTTTCTTCCTCCTGACTTTCATGTTATCTACTTTGTGGTAAAATGTGGGCGCCACATAATTATCATAATCTTAAAATGGTAACATTCATTTCACATTATAACAGAACTGGAAGCAATACATGCATAGTATGTATGTAGCCCATCGAGACCTAACCACAAAAAAAAGATGCAGAAATGCCTCTGGGTTAGGGCGATGGACAAATTAGCTTATTCTATATGTTGGCAAGATTTCAAGTAAATTTTTTTCGAATTTTTGCATTTTTTTTTTGTAAACTAAAATTTTTCAAACCCTGGTAGTGACCACAATTATTAAAATTTTTTTTTTTAATTTTGAAATTTTCGTGGAGGCGTTTAGGAGGGTGGAGTTTAGGTTCAGTTATTCAAACTCAATCTTTGAAAAAAGTTAAAAAACAGCATCAAGATTTCATTATTACGATTCCGTTCAACAATTTTTTTTTGGTTTTTTTTTTAATATTTTTATATAATTTTTTAAGCTTAAACCTTTTTGTCATTTGAGGGCATTTTTCAAAAAACATCTTAAAGAAACTATTTTTATTAATAAAAAAAAACGCCATTTTTGGAGGTATTTTCAAATCGGTCCGGCTTGCTTAATCTTAATAATTTTCCGAAATATTTTGGAGGACGTCTTAAAATATTATAGATTTTATAATTCCAATGGAAAAACAGTACTGATTTTTTTTTGTATGGGGGGGTGATGCAGTCTAATGTACATATGTATATTGTCATACCTGATAACTTTGAAATGCGGTTGTTTTTCTTGTCTTCAAAAAATTTCCTCGACATCAAATACATACATACATACAAACATATGTACTAGTAATATCTATGTACATTAAGTTACGAGTACATAGCACACTGTTTAAAATTGCAGATTTGCCCACCTTGACCGTCTGTCTGCCATCTGAGTTTATATTGCTTCTTTTTCATGTCACTTTCTTTTTTCTTTTTATGTATGTATACACTTCTTAAACTGCTTCTTTTCACGCGCGCATTCGTACTCTTTGTACGCAAAAACGGTTTGGCTGATGTCTTTTTTTTTTTTGCTGCATCTTCGCTAGTAAATGGTAGGCAATTGGCTATTGCATATGTGGCTCGTGTCATTATCCGTATCAGTCATATGTATATCCCATGTCCTGTTTACCTGAGCGAATGGCATCGGATATATGTATGACATTACGTCCTGCAGGATATCGAATGATAAGCGCACGAGGTAGTGGTGAGATAGGTCGATCGTATCTATATACGAGGGTGAATCAATAAGGTAATGATCGGTGTGGATTAGATATGGGCGCAGGCATAATTTTTCCGTTCCGGAACTAGTGAAGAAAACATATTCAAAAACACGCACGCAGAAAAATTCAGTGAGGCACGACCCAGCCCGTGATTTGGCACGGATTATCTGCAATTGCACCCGAAAATATTTACTTTAACGAAAAAATTATAAAATTTTTGTTCAAAAAACTAGAGTCATATATTTTAATTTTCTTACTTATTTTCAAAAGCTTATTTTCCTTCCAGTCATAACACGTAAAATTTTCTAATTTTTGCAAAAACAAACTATTTTCTAAGTTTAAGTCTGGTAAATAGACGCCGTCGTTTTTTGTCCGATAACGAAAATACCCGATCACTAGTTACAGAAAAATTCAATACAGTCTTGCTTGCTTGCAACTGCAGCATTTTCAAGTCCAATTTTTGGCGAAATTCTAAAACGGGCAAATTTAAGACCCGAAGTAAATGCTAAAAATCTCAATTTCAAAACTTCTTTGTTTGCTTTTACCTATTTTTTTGCGATTTAATTTGCCCCTGCCAAAATCCAGGCCCGTGCCCATTTCTAGTGTAGATTATTTCACTCACGTCCCACAAATTTGTCGCCTACAGATCTATATTGGTCTTCTTCAGCGAAAATTTCGATGGTCACTTGGTAACCGGTGTGTTTTGGAAGTTTCATGTTTCATCTACAGTCATGGAACTGAGTCCCCATACATGATTTAAATTTTACATATGCACGCTTTTGGTAATGTTTTCTACGCAACAATTATCTAACGTCTTATGAATATTAGAACGAATAAATTTTTTGAATGAAACTCTTATTGGAATCGGAGACTGTGTTAAATACATATGAATATCCACTATAAAGAATGTACACTTATGGACAAAATAATAATTGTAGACACTTTTTGTTTAATAACTTCAAAGCAATTGTAATTAAAATAAAAATTTCTATGTTTTTATTAAGATTTTACTTTATTAAACTAAAATATGTGAAAATCATTTCGTTCTATATTTTTAAACGAAAGCTCAGGTATGATTAAAATATATCATTGGTCAACGTAATAGGTGTTAAAAACTTTTAGAATTAAAAACAAAATGTTCCTTTAATGCTTTACTTAGTCCATGGTTTTTATAATAGCCAGTATACCCTCCATGGTTTTATATAAGTTTTGCTATTCCATTAGGCATGGCTTATACTAGTTTTTTAACAGGTTTCCGTTGGAGTAGCACCCCATACTTTCTGGGCTTTCTGCCACAATTTCTCCTTATTTTGAAATGGAAATCGCGCCACAATCTCTTAAGACCATTCTCCAAGTTCTCAATTGGTTTGAGACGATAGAATTGATTTGAACATTGTATCCAGGCCCCCATGAAGCATATTTTAGGTCGTTTTCTGTTTAATAAAACCATTTCAGTGGCCTGTTTTGTTCTTAATATGACAGCATAACATATTACAAATTGCCTTTGTACTAGAAATCGGCCAATGTGTCTTTTATAAAAACAAAGCACACAATTTTTTTAATTACAAATGTTTTAAAAGTTATTAAACAAAAACTGTGTACACCTATTATTTTGTCCATAGTGTATAAGGCGAATGCGTGGACAGAAAACGAACAGCTGAGACAAAGACAAAGGCAAAGAAAATTGTATAGACAAAGATAATGTTATAAATTTTGTGATAACGACAGAGATAAAGACAAAGGCAACAACAAAGACAAAGTCAAATATAAAAATATAGAGATTAAGATCGGTATTAAAGAGAAGATGAGGGTGAATATATGGATATATGTGGATAAGAATATGAAGATGGAGATGAAGTTGATAGATAAAGGTTAAGACGAAGGCGAGGGTGAAGTTGAAGCTGAAGAAGATGATGATAATGAAAATTAAGTAGAAATTAAAGATGAATACGAAAATGCAGATAACAATCAAAATAAAGGTAATAGTAAAGATACAGATCAAGTTAGGGATAAGGATGAAGATGAAATAACATGATCACAAAGATAAAAACAATGATGAAGATTTAGGTAAAATTTAGATATAAAGATAGAGGTGATATTGATAAATATAAAGAGATTGAGCATAAGCCTAAGATAATATCTCAAATATTAAGTAAACGAGGCAATTTATTATAAAAAGCAAAATAAAAATAATGCACACAAATAAATATTTATATTAGAAAATATATTGCAATATTATTTCTGGAATTTTTTTCTATGAGTTTCACTTCTGGCGCGCGTAGGAACTACATGCACTCAATTTGTTTTTTTTTTTCATTTTCATTATCATTCAAGCCGCAACGCGGAAAATTCAAAGTCACAAACTTATTTAATAACCCTCGTATGTAACTATTCGTTCGCCATACTCGAGTGCATATTACGAATGCTTTTCGGTATTCGCTAATGCAGAAAAAATGCATACAGAACTGAGCGGCGAAAGAGCCGAAGCCGCCTGCATGTATGCTGCTTGTTGGTGGGCCTGTATGCACTGCACGTTCGTCTGCTAGAACATTGGGTTGGCGGTGTGCCTACCTATAGAGCGGGGCTGCCAGGGAATGAGAGAGAACGAGAACGACGAGCATAGCAATCTCGGTAGCGGGCGCAGGCGAATACGTGTGTGCAAGCGAGTCAGAGCAACGCAAATATCGAATATGTGCTGGTATTTTGTGGCATGTGGCGCTGCGGCTGCCGAAAAAAGGCTGCTTCCTGCTCGGAAAACGTTGCTGAGATGTAGCCGCTGCCAAACGTCAGCGCCGCTGTCACTCGTAGCAGCGATAAATTTCAGTACCATACGCCTATTTTGGCTTAGTTTCTTTTAGTACTCGGTTAGATTTGCACTTTGATTATTCGGCTTTAACAACTTGTTGTTTTTAGCGCGTTTGCAAATAAATTTTTTACAGATTATTTTGTTTGCCACCATCCGTTGGAGTGGTGGTGTGGCAAGTACCAGCACCGATTATCAGCCGACAGTAGGCAACAATAGGGCGGGCTGTGTTGTTGGAATCATGCGTATCGCGTTTGCATTGTCGTCAGCAAGTGATAAAGCGAAATGCATATTTGCCGCGGCATATGAGCATTTTTGTTTATTTGGCTTTTTAGAGCTTATGTCATTGGATATGTGTACATATGTATGTAGTGTGTGAACGTAGTAGATAATAGATTCTAAAATAAAAATTATAGTTGAAGTAAATGTTGGCGAAAAAGTGAGTACAAACAAACATTGCGAAAAAGGCCGAGTAAAAACACTTACGGAAGCGTAAAATCACGATGCTGCTTGCTTGTTGAGTTTCAGCGCGGTAGCTAGTCACTCTGGGAGTGTTCTTTGCTACGGTTCGAGTGCCAATTTTAGTGAAGCGTGCTTGTTGTGAAAGGTGTGATGTCACTTTTTTTTAATACCTATGTATATACATATCGTACTTGAAGCATAATAATCTCTTTCTAATTATATTTTATTATAATTTTTCACTTTTCTGCTAACAACTAACTACTAACACCCCGACCTTGTGCTAATTAATGAACTAAAAAAACAATTTGTTTGTTTGAAAATCAATAAAATAGAAAACGCGCTGACACAACTACAACTGCGTGTAGTATTGGAGAATCGAAGCAGAAAATTAGCGAAACGCTGTGACGAGCGCCAAAAATATAACGCAAGTCACAAGAACAACCAGGCGAAATAAATATTTCATAAAGAAACGTGAAATAATAAAAAAAAAAGTAGAAAGAGCTGAGAAATCGAGCGTTAAACGGAAAATGTGCGAATTATTTAAAAATGATTTCCGAAAATAAATTAGACGCGTGACGAAAACGAAACCACAAATAAAAGCATAATTGAGTAAAAAAATAATTTTGTTGAAAAGAGAACTGTATAATCAAAAACAAAAAAATCGCATAAAAAAAAATATTTTAAAACAAATTATTATTTCTCCCAATAAGTTAGACAAACGTAAAAAAATTAAATTGTAATTATTCAACTGCGAAAAACTACGAACAAAACGAACACGAGCTACGAACATACACACGAACATACCTACACTCTACGACGACATCATCGTATCAAAACACACAACGTTTTTGGGCCAAACGCCAACAATAGCAAACACCGTTGTTCTACAAATAAGCGGGCGCGTCGCGCAGGCAATCAGGCCAGGCCGTCAGTCAGTCAGTTGTTGAAGCGATTAGAAAACCTGCAATAAAAAATCAAAATCAGCTGAAATTTTTCAGTCACAACACACCCAAACGCCCATGTTTCCACGCTCACAAGCACACACAACTTGACAACAAGAAATAAATAAAAACTGCAGCTGACATCGGCGCGGTCAACAACAACGACGACATAACGATGATGTACGAATAAATGTACGTAAAGACATGCACGGCAAGTATAAAGTAATTAAATAAAATATGGTTTTATTTTTAGATTTTTTGAAACCATAAAAATCTAAAAAAAAAAAATCATATTTCCTTCCGTTGTACGTAATTGTTGCTGTGTTTTCCCGTATAAGCTAATCGCATTGTTGTTGTTTGACGTAATAACGTAGTTATGTGTTCTGTAAAGTCCAAGCAAGAAGCTCAAAAAATACGTACACATGGCCTTACATACTTATTCGCTCGTGCAGCAGTTTCCGTTTCAAAAAATCCAAAAAAAGAAAAATTTCAAAAGTAAAAAAAAGTAGTAAATAAAATTGCAGAAAACAATTGTCATACAACCACGTAGTATTTATGCGCTAACATGCAGCGTAGGCGTACATGTGTGGGCCAGTGTTGCCGTTTTACTTAAATTTAAACAAAATTTATTAATTTTTTTCCTGCCTTTTTTTATTAAAATATTCAAAAAGGATAATTTTCTTCAAAAATTCATTTCTGACTATGAGTCAATTTTCAATCAATTTTTGAATTTTGTTTTAGGATCCCGTATAAAGTTCCAGGAAATGTTGCTCTACGCAGCTCCCGATCCGCAGTCGTTGCATTTTCAAACCTCTTGAGTGTTTTTCTTTCATGAAATCGTTTCTCATAAAAACCATTTAAAGTTCGCAGGCGACCTTAGGTCCCCTCATTCGCTTGACAAGATCAACATGCACATTATGGATAACATGATACCAAACTCGCTTTATGCATACATTCAAAAAACTGGCGAAAGGACTGCTAACTATTATAGGAGTACACTATGTTGAAAGCCTGAAAAAATGTGTAGGTAATAGTTTTCAAATTAGGCAACAAAAAAAATCCTTACTATTGACGACAAAACTGAGTCTTAGATTGTCTTTACTTACTTGTTTGCTTAATTTTTATTTCTATAACCAATTCACCAAGCTTGGTAAGAAAACCACAAATTAATTAAATAAGTTGCTTAATTTTTACGGGATTTGTTAGACTTTGTGTAACGATTTTGGTTAACTTTTATTTTTCGGCCGCGGCAACACTGGTGTCTAGCTATATTTGTGTGCCGATTTTCCGTACTCGCGTGCGCGTTCTCGGCGAGGTTTCTCAGCCGCCATGCCATGCTCACGAGCATCCTCTAACCAGAAACTCTCTTTTGTGTGTCTCTAATTCGCTTTGTGGTCGGCTTTCATTTTTAATTTGTTTTATTTTTAATAATTCACAGTTTTATATTGTATTTGCTGCTATTTTTTTCCTTTACTTTATGTTTTGCACTCATCCGTCTGTATGCTGCTGCTGCTTCGTGCACTTTTCTCATTTATTTATTGGTTATTTACTCTATTCGAATCTTCATATGTAATCATTCATCCAAACATATTCGTGATTTGCACTTCTTCTCTATTTTGAATATTTGCGTACAAAGCTAAAAACTTTATTATTTTATGATTTTTTTTTTCTATTTCTAGGTTATGCAATTTCATTTATCGCCTTACCCAAATTAGATTTTATCAGTTTGCAAATTTTTCCATATGTTTCTACTAAATATTGGGCACATACATACATACATACTGCATTAGACTGTCCCAATAATATATGTATGGAAAAATTTTTTTGCAAATTTTGTTATGCATACCCTATATATTTTGACTTTTAGCCTAAATCATATATATGAAGTTTTATGGCCGTACTCTAAAGATAACCCGTGCCGACTTTTAGTTAAAGTTTTAATTAATAACTAGAATTAATCGTCCATGAAAACTTTAAAAATGCGAAAAATTCGATATGTGTCCCATATTTGAACGCATTTCTAGTAAATCTCCATCTTTAAATTTTTAATAGGTCGTGAGGATTTTTCACAAGGACATCGAAAAAATTAATTGAAGGCAAATATCCTTTGCAATTTTTATCCTTCAATATCCTTATATATATTTATAGGATTTAAATTAAACTAACATTCTTCCAAATGCATTCAAAATTCAAAATCTTGAAGGATAATATTTTTAAAGAACATTTTGACATGTTCCAAACGGATAATTAAAAACAAAAGTTATATTTAATCTTGTTTTGAATTTTTCTTTTAAATAATACCCAGATAAATATATATAATTATATATTATAATTTATGGTCCTTTGAAAACAATCCTGACTAGCCTGGTAAAAAACTTAAAACGCCGATTTATTAAATATGCCCTAATACTGTGGTGAGTATAGTAATATCGCCTTATATAGAAGTAAAAATGAGTACAAAACACGCGAACGGCGGCTTAAGTAATATAAAATCCACTCATCTTCGACAATTTTCTTTTATATGGAAGACACTGCCAGCAAAAAAAATTGCCTAAAATTCAACGGAATTTTTTTTTGCAGCTAGAAACTTGCACTTCATTATATTAGCATTAAATAGGCTACAAAACTGCATAGCACATTTTTTTCTAAAGGTTCGGAGCTTTTTTGTATACGCAGCTTGACTTTTATAAAAAAAAAATAATAAACATTAAATAAACAAAAGACAAATAGCCAAAACTGGTCAAAATATCGCAATACTATTAATTGTGGACAACTGTATATCCCATTTTACTAAATGGAGCATATTCGACTTGGTAACTCATATTTTTTCGTTTTCCAATAAAAACATTTAAAAATTCTAGGACGAGTTAAAGTTCGAAGAGGTTGAAAAAGGCACTTTCGAGAAAAAAGTTTCAAACAAAAGTTGCGTATGTTTGTCCTTAGTTCCGAATAAAACATGTGTATCTAATTTGAAAAAATTTACTTCCGGTCAATTAAACCCACTTCCGGTCGAATCCGGAAGTCGGTAATACCACCAAAAAATAGAGCATCTACGATTTAGTAGGTCAAATTTTTGCAATTTTCAATAAAAAACATTTTCCACCATTTTAGTGGGGTGGACGAGTGGTCTAGGACACCCTGTATAGTAACCGAAAAATGGAAAAGAGCAACCCCCTACGTTCGGCAATTTTTTTTTTTTTTTTCGAAATTGCCTTACCATAACACTTTAGCTTGTAAGGTAGGTGATACGGTCTAATGTACATATACATAAGTTTATGAACATAAGTACATGTGTATCATATTTGCAAAATGAGTATCTAATGATAGCATTTTGTTTATTACATAAATTCATTGTACCTACCAGTTCGTGACGTTGGTATTCGTAACTTCCAAAACATACTATAGATAAGCACTTTGTTTACATATATGTATTCGATTATTTATTGGTACATGTTAATTGGCTTACATAACAGATATATTTTTAATAAGAACATCTCAAATTTCAATTTCATAAGTGTCATGTGTGCTGTGTACTCTTAATACGCTTATGTTGTGGGTGGTGAGCTGAGGTGTTAGCTTTTTGTTTGCCTTCTCACGTTTATGTTGAGCAGTGCACCATGGCATCGTTGGAATCGTTGAGAACAACTGCAAAACGAATGCTTACCAATATTCATGAAATCCAAAAGAGAATCGCATACATATTCCTTATTTACAGCCAATGCCAAGATCAGCTGTTGTTGAATTTCAGTAATTCCAATGACATTATATATTGTCAAAATAACTTTAATATTTGATTGAAAAAAAAAATAATAATAATATTAAATCATAATGTGATTGCAAATTAAAAAAATTATAGTTTAAAAAACTAAAAACTCGAATTTCATAATTTCCATTCGTACTGTCATCAGGTTACTTTAAGAATGGAAATTTAAATGAATTCCAATTGATTGATACTTAGATACTTAGATACTTAGATTTATATGGTATTTGTTAAAAAATATACTATCTTTTTATAAGCAAATAATTAAAATAAAAAAATATTAAGCTAAATGGTCAAATCTTTTCAATATGTGAGTGTCGTAAAGTTATAATTCGGCTTCTCATTGTAAGAAAATAGTTTGGTTCGCAATGCATTTGGATTTAATTTTGATTTCCTTTTTTTTTAAATATTATGTGAAAATACAAGTACCTACATATACCAAGCCATTGGGAATTATTGCGACTGATTTCGATTGCAGCAAATAACCCTGAAGGAAAGATTGGACTAATGACTCGAAAAATACAGTCATAGGTATATGTAGTAGTTTTGTATCTTAGACCAAAAATAGTCCAAAAATGTAATGTAAAACAGGTGATTTGTACTATAAGTTATTCGTATGCAATGCATAAGTTCTGAGTTTTGATCTAAAATTGGTGACAATGTCAGGCAGAAGCGGACAATTGGTCCGAGCCTATTGACAGATCCTACAGGGAAATTTGAGAATATACATACATATAGTACCCATATGTGTGTATGTATGTATGTATGCGAATAAATAGATAAAACATGTGCACTTGCAACGATCGATTCGCGTGCAGTTCGGCGTCCGCATTTATGCATATAAATAGTAGTAAATATGCCATTGCATGTTCATATACGGTACTGTTATTGCTACTTCTATTTATTACGAACTGATAGCAGTGTATTGCATTTATTTATTTACATGCATATGCACATTTGTGTGTTTGTATGTGCAATAATTGTTGCTTCAGACTAGCTTACCTTGCGTTTTTTTTTACATTTTCATTTTTTATCGCCTTCATTTTCCTTTTTAGTTTTCATTTTCACTTCCATATATTGACTATTTTTTAACGTATGACTCTTTGTTGTATTTTGCTCTCCCCAATTTTCTCTCTCCGAAGCGGTTTTTTCGCCAACTTTTTGCAATTGCATACATCATAAATAGATATGTATATATGGACGTAGAAAAAATTGTACATTTGCTAAAATAAAGAGGTAGTATATATGTATGTAACATAAATCTCTCTGCTTTGCCCATGGATCTATAGGCGTATTCACCAAATTGTGCAAGTGACTTGCCACTGGAGCAAACGAGTTGATTAGCTCAAACCAACGAATTCACAATAGAGCATTTTTTTCACTTAACAACACTACTCTTTAAGTCGCGTATTTTTTAACCGACCTGGCTGAA